TGTTAGAGGAAGCACAAGGTAGGTGTTACTAATAAAGTGGCCAGTTAGTGGAAGCACAAGGTATGTGTTTCTATTAAAGTGGCCAATTAGTAGAAGCACAAGGTGGGTGTTTCTAATAAAGTGGCCAGTTAGTGGAAGCACAAGGGGGGTGTTTCTAATAAAGCAGCCTGTTAGAGAAAGCACAAGGTAGGTGTTACTAATAAAGTGGTCAGTGGGCGGAAGTACAAGGTGGGTGTTTCTAATAAAGTGGTCAGTTTGTGGAAGCACAAGGTGGGTGTTCCTAATAAAGTGGTCGGTGAGCGGAAGTACAAGGTGAGTGTTTCTAATAAAGTGGTCAGTTTGTGGAAGCACAAGGTAGGTGTTCCTAATAAAGTGGTCAGTGAGTGGAAGCACAAGGTGGGTGTTCCTAATAAAGTGGTCAGTGAGCGGAAGCACAAGGTGGGTGTTTCTAATAAATTGGTCAGTTTGTGGAAGCACAAGGTGGGTGTTCCTAATAAAGTGGTCAGTGAGAGGAAGTACAAGGTGAGTGTTTCTAATAAAGTGGCCAGTTAGTGGAAGCCCAAGATATGTGTTTCTATCAAAGTGGCCAATTAGCAGAAGCACAAGGTGGGTGTTTTTAATAAAGTGGCCAGTCAGTAAAAGCACAAGGTGGGTGTTTCTAATAAAGTGGTCAGTGAGTGGAAGTACAATGTAGTTGTTTCTAATAAAGTGGCCAGTTAGTGGAAGCACAAGGTGGGTGTTTCTAATAAAGTGGCCAGTTAGAGAAAACAAGATGGGTGTTTCTAATAAAGTGGCCAGTGAGTGGAGGCACAAGGGGGGCGTTTCTAATAAAGTGGCCAGTTAGTGGAAGCACAAGTTAGGTGTTTCTAATAAAGTGGCCAGTTAGTGGACCCTACAGGTAATTAAATTGAGCATCTGATCACCACTGCAGCAGAGAACTGAAGTAACCTGCCTAGAAGAACCACATGGACACCAAGAAGAAGAAATTCAGCATGTACTCCACTACGACTCTCACACATACCCCAACCTACCGGTCCGTCCTTCTCTCCTTAGCAACAATATTATTTTTTATCTTGGCACAGAGCCGATGTGCATGTTTGCGTCTGAGTATGTAATGCTAATCCTGCCTTCTTCACATGCTCCGACCAGATAATCATCTTGATTCTGTTACCTCAGGCATGTGAGTGCAGTCAAACCTGCGGAGTTCGCACATTACCCTCACGCTGGAGCAGCTCAGTTGTTCAAAGGGAATTCCACCAGTCAGACTCTAGAACCAGACCTCCACTTTCTAACTGTTGTTTTGAGGTTGAGGCTGTTTGCACAGCTTGCTGAAGACCAAATTCTCTAAAGTTGACACTTGTTTTAAACATGCCATGTGGGTGGTCTGTAGTTATTAAATAAATTCTGTTAAATTGGATCAGGTGCAGTTCACACAGAGAAAAATCACGTTTAGAGGTTATATAGCTGTTGGGTTAATAATTTTTCTGAGTAAGTGGAGAGACAGTTCTATTTAACAGATAAAGGTTTCCTGACCTTAGAAGAGGTTTGTCAGTGGACAGATGGTGGGAGTTGGATTATAAACACACTGACCACCCCAGAGCTTTCAAATTTTAATTTTTCTGAACCCAATTCTGCTGAGAAAAGCCCCCCCACACAGACACACACACCTGTGTGATCCAGAATGTTACACAGCCCATAAATCACTCCTCAGTGCAGATTCAGCTGCAGGCTCTCAGGACCCTACCTGCCCCCCACCCCCCAATCTCTCCTGTCAGTACTTCTACATTAAACACTGTGGCCAGAGCGTATTAACATTGCTATAGTCTCAACTGGGAACAGCAGAAAACATTTCAAAATCTACTTTATAGTTATGCTAAACTGGTTTCCACGGTTATGCTATTCTCATTTCTATAGTTACTTCTCAGCCATTTCTATGGTTAGGCTACACCCATTTCATGGCTATACTATTTCCTTTTCAAATGTTTACGCTACAACCATTTCCATAGATACGCTACACTCATTTCCATGGTTACGCTACACCCATTTCCATGGTTATGCTACACCCATTTCCATGGTTACGCTACACCTATTTCCATAAACACACTACACCAATTTAAATGTCTACGATACACCCGTGTCCATAGATACGCTACATCCATGTCCATGGTTACACTTCATACATTTCCATTGTTGCACTGTATACTTCTTCTTTAAACGTGCACGCTACAGAAGCATCAACTACAATAACAGTATAAAAAATAAACAAAGCTCTGAATGTAAATGTTAATTCCTGCTTCTCACCAATTTTCCAAACCTCGGATTCCAAACTCTTCCACTTCCACAGAAATTTCTAAACGAGTCTCTGTCGGTGTGAGCAGGAGCTGCAGTCACTCAGCCTGAAAGTGTGAAATTCAGCAGGTGCACAACTGAACACGCACACACACTCACACGCACACACACAGGCACATGCACACACATTTAGTGCTGCAGGTGTGCTGCAGACAGATAAAAGTGGAGTCTACAGTCATCACCACGGATACCAGAACATCACTCACACCCCATCACACACAGACACACACACACACACACACACACAAACACACACACAGTTTTTCTGTGTAAGTTTTAATGCTCTTTTCTTTTTTCTCTATCTTTCTTAATGCTTGCTCTCCCCTTCTTTCTCTCCCACTTTCTCTTCTCCCTTACACTCTCTCTTTTTCACCTCCTCTCCTCTCTCTCTGAGACAGATGAGACTGTGGGGAATAGTAAAATGCATTTACAGCAACAACAAAGTCTTCTGCTCTCTGCTGTGTTATTCTACAAATCAGCTGAGGGTAAGTGTGTGTATGTGTGTGAGAGAGAGACCGTAGTGAACAAATGAGGGAGCAGCCCTTCTAATTAACTGATAACAGCACAAAAATGATACATTTGCATATAAATATTCACTATAAATGAACAATAGAATCAGTAAATTCTCCATTTAACTTCTTTTCAGCTAGTTATCAGATAAAAACACATCTGAAAAATATGTTTTCTAAAGTGAAATGTACATTTTAAAATTAATATTACAACCCTACACACACACACACACACGCTCATTTCATGCTGTGTTACTTCAGACGACTTTCCAAAGTCAGCAACCTCCATGAACAGTTTACAGTCCAGTCACAGCATTACAGCATAAACTATGAAAAACCATGTACACTTGCATTGTTTCCTTAAAAACAGATGCCCCATTATGTTCATATCATACACGTGCTGCATTAAACTGTTGTGGCTAACAGTTACACCAATTTTTCATAATTTCTCCATAATTCAGGGGTTACAATATAAACAAAGTCATTCAGAGTGATTTGACACAAAATAATTCATTTGTAGAGAAACTTACACACAGATTTCTTTACAGTGGTGGTGATAGGAACCAGGGGGTCGCCATGACTACAACACAAATATAGACATATGATGTACTATCCACAACCACCAGTGAACCTACACGTGTCTTCTGAGTTTTATATGGAATGTTAATGATGGGAAAATAGCGGAAAAACTGAAATAATAAGTTTTCTTTGGGGATTATTTTGCCTCACAGTGCCCTGAATGTATCCCTTCACCACGAATGGATTTTGTCTCAGACATCATGTAGTGTATTCATAACCATTTCATGTAATAACTTTCTGTGAGAAAGTTTTTAGAGGTGGACGTCTGGTTCCTATCACCACCACTGTGAACAATTCTAACTCAGTAAATTTCTCTAGAACGGAGCATTTCACACCAAACCACTCTGAATCTTTACCCTTTACTTAGAAATTTGTAAACATCAGTGTTCCCCATTAAGCTAATGCTGGCTAGCTAGCAGCAACCTTGGCTCATCTTAATGTTAGACAACCCTTTAGCTAGAATAGTGAAAAGTGCACATAGTTATTATGGAGCTCTAAGAACAAACACAACTAGCATAAGATGCTAACAGAAAACATTAATATTAATTTTAGCTATCTCATTATTAAAATTACAGTATAGCCAGAGTTAGATCATAGTAAATTCACAGTAAGGTCACAGTTAAATCACAGTAAGCTCAAAGCAGAATGAGAATGGTCAGATTAGTTGTTTAATTGAATAATAGGTATAATGCCAGTATAATAACAGAATAATAAAAGTTACTTAATTATTGACATAATCACTCCCTGTCCTGTTATTACAGAGACTAAGATGACAACAGTGACAAAATACAAACACAAAAGACAGACAGGACTATGTGTGTGTGTGTGTGTGTGTGTGTGTGTGTGTGTGTGTGTGAGAGAGAGGGTAAAATAGGCATGTACAGTTTCCAGAATGACAAAACATAGCCAGCAGCTAACAAAAGAGAGGACGAAAGACAGAGAGAGATGAAGATAGTGATATCCCACGAGAGTGTTTACAGCCTGAGGTTAACCACAGCACACTGAGAGAGAGAGAGAGAGAGGGAAACATACTGAGAGAGAGTGAGAGAAAGGGAAACATAACGAGAGAGAGAGAGAGAGAGAGAGAGAGAGAGAGAGTGAGAGAGAGAGAGAGAGAGAGAGAGAGAGAGGGAGAGTCAAGCCCAGACAGGCCAGAAAACCCCAAGGAGGTCGAGTGTGTGTGTGTGTGCTGTAAACACATCTGGGCGCTCCCTCATACAAGGTCTGAAATACTCCCGCCAATTTTTAATTATTTCAGGCTTTGCAGGACGACTCGTGGGAATGCACACTCACCATATTTTATAGCACCAAAAAAGTTATTTTATAATAGCAGAACCCTGTATGTGCTATATAGAACCATTCAAAACCACACAGAATACATAACACATTCTCCATCAATCCATTTTGCCATGCAGAGAACCATTTTAGCACGCAAAAGGTTCTTTGAGTGTTAATGGCTTTATGAGCGTAGCTAGACCTAAACATTCAATTTTCCATCCTGAGTGTGACAAAACAAAATAGCCTTTTTGTGGCCAATACTAATTATGAGGGTGATGAAGGTACCTGTCTGCATCTCCCTGGCCGGTGGACGCGTTTCTCTGCAGCGTTTCCCTCACCATGGCCATGCCGTCCGGCAAATGGTTCAACCGCCGAGTGTACAGACTCAATCCCCCGTCCGTCATGTAGCTGAGAGAGAAAGAGAGTCACAAAATTCAGGGCGTATTGTGTTTCCATCTTCCGGAAATGCGCCACGAGAGCACAGACATTTGTTCCGCTGTTTCAGTCTTGGTTTCAGAATCATTACGCCCCTAAATAGCAGTGCGTCATACATACAGCATCAGAAACCACATAATCAACTCTATTAGAGATACTAAACAACTGCACACAGTTTGAGGTTTGAAGCTCAAGTTGGCTTCCCTATTCTTCCGCAGTTACATTGTACCGCCTTACCTGAAATTTCCTGTTCCACCTTAAATAGTGCCGCAGTTACATTTTAGCGCCTTATTCAAAATTTCCTATTCCACCTTAAATAGTGCAGCAGTAACATTCTAGCACCTTATTCAAAATTTCCTGTTCCACCTTAAATGGTGCAGCAATTATATTCTAGTGCCTTATTCGAAATGTCCTGTTCCACCTTAACTAGTGCAGCAGTTACATTCTAGCACCTTATTCGTAATTTCCTGTTCCACCTTAAATGGTGCAGCAGTTACATTCTAGCACCTTATTCAAAATTTCCTGTTCTACCTTAAATGGTGCTACATTTACACTCTAGCACCTTGTTCTAAATTTCCTGTTCCACCTTTAACGGTGCAGCAGTTACATTCTATCAGAGATACTGAACACCTAAGAGACACTGATTAATACACAGTTTGTAGTGATTCAGACATGCGGTTAGCACTATGCGAATAGGTGGGCTATAAGCTTCTATTACTTGTTAGCTACATTAGCCTCATAACTCAAGTGCTAAAACTAAAGAAGCAAAACTTCAGACTCCAAACACGTCTTGTCTGAAGGAGTGTGATGAGGTTAGTGGGGGCAGCGTGTTTTATAGAGGAGAAAATAGACCCGTCTTGTATTTGGACAGACTGAACATTAATCACTGCAGCGCAGCCTCTGTTGAACTAAAACACACACTAACATAACACACACTCTACACTGCACACACTAACATTTATCACCTCTTCTATCACAGTAAAAATTACTTTAAATGCAAACTTAAGCTCTCAGAAGCCAATCTCCAGAGAAAAAATGTTTAAAAAATTGTCAAAATAAAGTAATAAAACAAGATATCATTATGGGCTGCCGTCCAATCAGCTGCTTGTTTCTATGTAGTTACAGTTAGCAGCCAGCCACACTTAAAGGGCCCTTATCCTATATTTTTCTTGCATTTTATAACATGGGTGTGTATTTATGCAACATAATTCATTTTTCCAACCTCTCTTCATCCCTTAGGATTAAAAAGGCTGGTTTTGTTACTGTGCCTGACATATGTAAATGAGCTCTGTTCTGATTGACTGTGCCTCATTCAAATAGCAGACCAGGCTGAAACACTCTTATAGCCTCAGCGTGAATGGGCATGGCTGCTTTTAGCTGAGTAGGTGGGTATATGTAGATGTGTTCATGTTTGTGACATCACAAAAGCAGCAAATAAAAAACGAGCAGCTTTATTTCCATATATACGGACAATGTTCATATATTGCATCAAACTTTTTTATAAAAAAAGAAAGTTTTTCTATGGTGTACGCCCTTTAATAGAACAAAAAATGCCAGGTGTGAACAGAAATTTGACTGGCCTTAGTTAGTACAGATCATTTAGCACATAAAACAAGTGAATACATGACGCACTCGATCCCTACAAAGTGCTGCACACACACACAGCTGGTCGAATGAGGACAGCTGTTCTTTTGTGTTGGTTCTCAGTGACAGTGTCTGCTTTCTCGTTCTATTCAAGCATCATAACATCATGAACATCCGGAAACTTTCCTCTCCAGGCTGGTAATTCAACCTCCATTCACACATTTACTGCTGCTGAATCCTGAGGGAAAGCTAATAAATGGTAGTTATAATAATAGCTGGGGTTTCAGTTACTCTTCACCATGGCTAAAGAACGCAGGAGGCCTGTTCTAACAAGAAAAACGTCAATAAAGGAGTTCTTTAGGAAAACTGCAGGTTATCAGGTTCTGCTGAGGTCACTGAGTGCACTTCTTGGACCTCCGGAATGTCCCAAATTAAACTTCTGGGGGTCCCTGGAAAGAAACTTATGACCTTATGCTGTCTGTTAGGGACAAACAAATTGAGGGAAAGGTCACTGTTTATCAGCTTCACCCACAATCAGCTTCTGTCTTTGGTGTTCTTAACTAACTAGAGCTGCAGCACTGCTCTGCCTCAGGGTGGCGCTGTAGCAGACTCGTTCACCCAGTTGGTCCCTCATAGTCTAGAAACTGTAACTATGCCCAGATTCCTCTGAAAAACTTTACAATGTGCTGCAGCATATCTGTGAATCTGAAAACTCGCCCAGTTTCCCAACAGTCTGGTGTAAAGAGTGACTGTTCCTCATTTCTCACACTGAAGACAGAAGAGGAAATAAGGAATATCTCAGTTAACGTGAGAAGAGCACAGAGGGAAACTAGAACAGAGACTTTACAGAAGAACAATCGTGAAACTAGACATTTTGCTGCCACTAAAGCATCAGCGCCACTATGGTGAGTGAGTTAGCAGCCAACATGAGACCCCGAAATACCAGGGGGATTTCACACACTGGATTTAATTCCGCTCAAAGAAAAAGCTTATTTTAAAAAAGTTAGATGACCCATTCAGCTTCTAAAATCTGCAGCTCTGTGATGAATTGCTGAGATGCAAAAGCATCTGAGGATGGTTCACTAAAAACAAAACACTGTCGCCCTCTTGTGGCTTCCTCACCAAGGTGATTTGTGTGAAAGATCACAGATACGAATACTGGGTAGCACTTACAGCACTTTAATTAAAGGCAACCAACATAGAGGATTCACAACATATTCATAAGCACTGAATAAAGGACTTATAAAGCAATACTTGAATATACATAAACAGCTTATGCCAGCAATCACCGATACATGATATAAGATGTTTTAAGAAGAAAGTGGCATTGTATTGACATAAACTAAAGTGACAGACATTTGCTCCATTTATAACATTGTTATGAAGTGTTAAAATGGACCACTGATGTATAACTCCATTGCAGTTTTATAAATAGAACTATCGACCATCACTTCAGTTTAAGACTCCTTTTATCAATACAATGTTATTCACTTCATCAAATATCTTTATACAAATTCTTATGCATTTGATATTAAGTTTTTATGCAGGCAGCTTTCAAAGTGTTTATGTTGTAAACAGTAGGGTGCTGTTTTGACTGGGCAGAAATTTACCACCAAAAGGGCTTTTTTATAACAGAAGTACACTTTTTGCTACAATACAGATTCTATAAAGAACTATATAGAACACATTCTCCATCAATCTGAAGAACCATTTCACCATGCAGAGAATCATTTAAGCAATCAATGGTGTGGAGATGCTCAGTATCTCTAAAAGACCTGTTTATGTGGTTTCTGACACTGCATGACTCACTGTTACCTATAAACATGGACTAAAACACAGGTGGTTGCTAAGGTGTTGCTATGTTATCGCAGGTGGTTGCTACGGTGTTGCCAGGCCTTGTTATGCTATCCCAGGTGGTTGCTAAGGTGTTTCTTGCCTGCTGTTATAATTTCCCACATGGTTTTGCATAGATAACAGAACGTCATACAGTGATTAATCAGAGCTGAGATGTTCCTCACTCACCCACTGGTAATCTCATCAATGCGGGCGTTCTTAGCCAGCACGTCTCCATCGCTAACATAGCCGCTAACATCCATCTCCAGCTCCTCTCCCCGCTCTCTCAGCTCTAGCCCACAGAGGGCGCTGCCGCGTGCCACCAGCTGCCTGCGCAGGGGGGCGGGGTAAAGGTACCGCCCCTGAGCCGGCCCTGCACCCCCACGACCAGGGTAACCATTCCCCAGCGAGGGAGCATCGCCTGCCTGCAGCCTCGGACTGGACTGACCAACTCGGCTGGCCCAGGCCAGCGGAACCGGACGGGACGACAGGGACAGCAAACTGCGGCCACTTAACTCTGTGGTAACCCCACTGTCAAAGGTTGTTTCCAAAGTGCTGGATAAAAGAGGAGAGCAGACAAACAGATGCATTCATTTAAAAAAAAAAATAGATCGATCATGTATTATTAACTGCATAAAACAAATCAACACAAATGAATGAGCAAAAAAAAACCGCTAGGTCACCAAAATTGTCTTATGACACAGTCATTTAAGTAATTTTGCAGCACTATAGAGCGCTTTTTAAATGAAACAATAGAAGCCATATCGCCCCCTACACTTCCTGTAGTGTATTACAGTCTGTCAGAATGACTGTGTAGATTATATGAACATTAAAGAGGGCTTTTTAAATGAAACAATAGAAGCCATATCACCTCCTACACTTCATGTAGTGTATTACAGTGTGTCAGAATGACTGTGTGGATCATATGAACATTACAGAGCGCTTTTTAAATGAACCTATAGAAGCCATATCGCCCCCTACACTTCCTGTAGTTTATTACAGTGTGTCAGAATGACGGTGTGGATCACATGAACATTATGGAGCACCTTTTATGTGTGGTTGATAAATGCTTATATCAATAAAACTCTTATAGTCTCACAAAAGTGACTCTATAAAGCTTTAGATCTTCTGCTTTTGCCCTAAAATGATCACGGCTCAGCTGGAATTATTAGGAATTCCAGGTCAAGTGGATTAATGACACACAACACACTGAAAAAGAGTGAGTCTTAATTGTGAAAAGAAATGAGGGAATGAGAGAGAGAGATGATCAAAGAGGTTTTCGAGCACTGCTGATGTCAGCAGTGAAGACCCCCCAACATGAAATAAAAAACAAAGACAGTTCTCACAGACAGGATTCCAGCAGTGAACAGAACAGACACTGACTCAGAACCAACATGACACAGAATATTTTTCCCCAAAGCTGTAGCACTCAACAACCACAGTGGACATCTCAAACTTTAAACTTAAACTAAACTCCCTTACTGTACTACAGTAACTCCTCTGCCTTTCTGAGGAGCTAGATCTCAGCATGTAATAAGGTCCCTTATTTTATTTTATTTTAATTATGTTTATTGAATTTTTCTCAACATAACAAGCATACACCATACACACGTAACAAAAAAAAAAAACAAACCAAAAAAACACAACCCCACCTTACATACACAAATATTTATGCTGACCAACATATCAAAATGCCACAGTAAACTATACAAGTGCTCTCACCACACCAGAATACTTGAGAGATCTGACCCAATATACAGCAGAAAAGGTTCCCAAGTATCGTAGAAGACATTTGTTTTTGAACGTAACAGGTGTGTCAAGTAATCTAGAGATACATGTTCCAAAACAACTCTGTGCCAGCTTGCTATAGAGGGTATTTTATCTGTTATCCATTGTAATAAAATACATTTCCTTGCACAGAATGTTAAAACATTGCAGAGTTTTTTCTTAAACTTGTCGGAAATATAATTATTTGGCGACCCAAGCAATAAACACAATGGGTCCATCGGTTTTAAAAATCTTGTACAGTTCCTGTGAGATCTCCCCCTAAAATGTTTTAATTCTGTAAGAAGTCCACAGACAACGGGTGAGGTTACCTACCTCCACTTTACATTTAGAACACATAGGAGAAAAACCCTCTTTAAATTTAAATATGCGCTCTGTGTAAGATTTTAAACTGGATAGCTTTTGCTTTATTACATATACTGATAGAGTTTGCATTCTTCCAAACCTTGTTCCACACATCCTCCTCTATCTCTATATCAAGTTCAGTTTCCCAAACCTTCCTCAAATAATGAGTGTTAGCGTTGGGATACTCTCTTAATATAATATAAAAGAAGCTAGTAGATCTATTCTGTTTGGGCAGAAAAAGCTGTCTCTCTATCTGAGAGGGTTGCATATCTAGGTGAAGCGTTGTGTCCTTTCTTACAAAGTCCCTTATCTGAAAAAAGCGCAAGATGTCATGTTTGTGAATGGCATATTTATCAGATATCTGACTGAATGACGTCAGTGTGGACCCTTCAAATAAATCCCTCAAGTGAGAAAGACCCCTCGATGCCCAAAAACGGAAATGAAAACCTGTAACACCAGGAAGAAAGTCAGGATTATCACATATAGGAGTATAAATAGAAGTCAGCTTGGATCTACCTTCCAGATTCTCCATGCTTTAACAGTGTTAATTACAATGGGATTCTCACAGGAGCTTCTTACTGACTTAAAGTTTCTAAGAAATAGCAAGTTTCGTAAGGGATATTTTGTTTGTGAATTTTCGATATCAAACCACAAAGAAGAATTGTCTTCATGTATCCAATCATATATAAAAAGTAAGTGAGCACATAGCTGATATTTTTTAATATCCAGGAAGTCAAAACCCCCTCTCACGTCCGGAAGACGTAAAACTGCCATTTTCAGTCGTGGCCTCTTCTTAACCCATATAAAGGAACTGAACCACTTATCTAGAGTTTTAAGAGACTTGCTTGGGAAAAGGACTGGAATCATCCGTCCAGGGTAAAGCAGTCTTGGGAGGACATTCATTTTTATCAATGCAATACGGCCTATCCAAGAGATAGGGAGAGCATGCCATCTCTCCAAATCTAGTTTGATACGATCCAGCAATGGAGTGAAGTTTGTTTTGAACATCTGATTAAATTTAGGGGTTATGAATACATACGAAGTATGTAAAGCCTGTCTCTGACCATTGAAAAGGAAAAGGTTATGGATTTTGTGGTATGTGTTTTAAGCTACCCATGGGCATAGCTATGGACTTAGTTGAACTGATTTTATAACCTGAAAAAAGACCAAATTTGGAAATAATACTAATGAGGCTAGGGATTGATATGTGTGGTTTAGAGAGAAAAATCAAAATATCATCAGCATATAATGTGATTTTTTGTTCTTTTTTGGATGTATTCAAACCATGTATGTTAAGATCTGTTCTTATTGCCTCAGCTAATGGCTCTATTGCTAAATTGAACAAGGAAGGCGACAGCAAGCAGCCTTGTCTCGTGCCTCGCTGAATACTAAAATGATCAGATCGTAAACCATTAGAGAACCGCAGCCATAGGGTTATACAAGGTATGTCCACTCTATGCTATCAAATGCCTTTTCCGCATCTAATGAAATCACCATCCCATCTACAGCCCTTTTCTGAAAAGTAAAAATACAATTTAAAAGTCTGCGAACATTATTACAGGAATTACGGCCCTTAATGATGCCTGTCTGATCTTCTTTAATAATATAAGGCAGCAAACTTTCCAGTTGGGCTAATATTTTCGAGAGAAGCTTCAAGTCTACGTTTAAAAGAGAAATGGGCCTATAGGAGGCGCAGTCCTCTGGTGGTTTTCCCTTCTTCAAAATCAGAGATATATTAGCTTCTCGTAAGGATGTAGGCAGAAGACCCTTGACAAAAGAGTCATTAAACATATTCAGTAATGGGTCAACTAAGAGATTCTGAAATTCTTTTTAAAACTCACTACCAAGTCCATCTGTGCCAGGGGCCTTACCACATTGCAGTTTCTTAATAGCACTGAGCACCTCTTCTTTGTAGATTGGAGAATTGAGAGCCAATTTCTGATTGTCTGTTAAAGTGGGGAGCTTAAGGGAAGAGAAAAAGTCATCCATTAATTCTGGGGCATCCGAAGGTAATTTGGACTTAAACAGACTTTTATAAAATTCCCTAAAAGTATTGTTAATAATTTTAGCCTCCTGAGATATGTTTCCCTGCACATCAAGAATTGAAGATATGATTTGAGAGTCTGCCTTTTTCTAAGGTATGCCAGATATCTCCCTGCCTTATCACCATGTTCATACAAACGTTGTTTAGCAAATCTTATTTTCACCTCTGCATCTTTTGTCAGAAGGGAATCTAGAGCTGAGCGCAGGGCGGTAATTTCTTTCAATCTTGCTGGTGATGGATTCTTAATACAATCCTTTTCTACTAATTTCAATTTGGTTTCTAATATTTTTTGTTGTTCGTGCTGCTTACGTTGTCTATATGATGTATAAGATATAATGACCCCTCGTGAAAAGGCCTTTAAAGTTTCCCATAACAAAGATGGATTGTCAGTGGACGGAGAGTTAAAAGACATAAATCATTCTAATTCTGATGTAAAGTACGCTAGAAATTTATGGTCATTCAATATTGAGGGGTTAAGTCTCCAATGTCTGGATTGTGGTAACGAATCACACAGCTCAACCTTCAAAAAAACTGGTGCATGGTCAGATAGGGTTATATTACCAATTGAACTAGAAATTACACATTGCAGTCGCCTACTAGGGATAAAGAAATAATCTATTCTCGTATGACATTTATGAAGGTTTGAGAAAAAAGTAAACTCTTTATCTACAGGATGCTGGGCTCTCCAAATATCAACATAATCTAAATCCTCACATATAGCATTAAGAGCCTTAGCTTGAGAGGATAGTAATATTGTACCCATAGGAAATTTATCTATCATAGTGTTCAAATGACAATTAAATTACCCCCAACAAGTGAATTACTAACACTCATGTCAGTCAATTTCGAAAAAGCAGAGGTACGAAACTCAAATGGATGACCAGGGGGGTTATATACATTCATAATAGCCAGCTCCTCCCCATACAAAATGCCCTTCACAATCAAATATCGACCCTGACTGTCCTTAATACAGGACAACAGTTTGAAAGGTAAATTTTTCCTCAGCAGTATAGCTACTCCTCTACTCCTAGTAGTGAATGAAGAAAAGAAGACCTGCCCAAAACCATTCTGCTGCAGTTTTAAATGTTCTGTATCATCCAAATGAGTCTCCTGCAACATCAATAATCAAGAGCAATATCAACTTGCTCTTTTTTAAGAAAAGTTAAGATCTTTCTTCTTTTGATAGGTGTATGGATACCCTTAACATTCAAAGTACAAAAATTCACTACGTTGGCAGCCATTTTCTTAACAGAAACAGAAAATAGAGAAAGAAGTCTCTAAACATCAGACTATGCAATCTGTAAGCCAGCATAACGTATTTCAAAATAAAAATAAGCTGGGAAATAACAACGAACACACAACTATAATATATATAAACCTGCACTCTACCTTGAGAGCCAGCCCCGTAGGCAAACATAGGGGTCACAGTAACGTCTCTTATCACGGAACTCCGCAGGAGAGACAGCACTAAAGTCCAAGCTCCAGCGTTAAAGTTAACCTTTTCTCCAACACATGTTCAAAAAGTAATCATAAAAGTAATACAAGCAATGCACACTTGCTAAACAGAGAAATGAACGAGCTCAGTTACTTACTGTTGGATAATGACTCACTCAACCTGCTGAGTCGTCGGTAGCTGATTCAAGGAAACCATAAATTTCTCAACCTCAGCCGAATCATCGAACTCTTTGGAAAGGCCATTATGCACCACTTTAAGTGAAGCGGGGTAGAGATGCATGTATGTTGCGCCCACGGCCCTCAACCGTTTCTTCACCTCGTCAAATCGCTTGCGCTTACGTAGAGTCGCAGCTGAAAAATCGTGAAAGATGAATACCCTCGAATTTCCGTACATGAGCTTGTGTCCACTGCTTCCAATCTTCCTTGCTGCGCCCATCACACGCTGCTTGTCAGTGTAGTTGTGAAACCTTACGAGGACAGGTCGCGGGCGCTGAATCGAGTCGGGCTTGGGAGCCAGTGTGCGATGGGCTCGTTCTACCTTTATGTTCCCTATCGCCGTTTCAATATTCAAGAGATCTAAAAGCCATGTCTCGAAGAACTTAACTGGCTGGTCTCCTCCTCCGGAACACCGATAATACGAATGTTCTTCCTTCTCCCTCTGTTTTCTAAGTCGTCAATATGTTCACCCATTTCGCGCACCTCTTTCTCTAGCGTTTTCAATCGTTTTTCTGCCGGGTCGACAGCATCTTCCACCGCCGACACTCTGGCCTCAGCTTCGGTAAGCCGCTTTTCATGAGCATTCAGTGTCTCTCCATGAATCTGAAGCATTTGTGATAAAGGTCCAAGTTTTTCATCTATCACTTTGGGAAGATTGTCTGTGATTTCCTTTATCACCTGACGAAGCCCAGAGTCAAGCAGGTTCGAGCTTGCCGAAGAGTTAGCATCGCTAACTTACGACATTAGCTGTGTGGCTTGTTGGCCAGCTTCTACGTCCGGCTTAGTTGAGTTCTTCGTGCTCCTTTGCGGCATATTCTCAGCAGTATGTCTCAAAAAGTAAGTATCAAGGCTCATATTAGTCTGTCAGCACTCCGTGTGGAGAAAAAAATAACACGTTTTGCGAGAAATGTTGAAAATATTAATGAAGAGGTGCGCTGCCTCTGCTGACAGTGGTGAAAGCTGTAAGTTTGGTGCTCTTCCTCACTCAGGGTGCTGGAAATGACTCGAGTATAATTTCTTACTTTTTATGTACGACTGTACAACCAGCACTGCTCCCAGTAGATTTTTCAGTGTAAAGCACTTTCAGTTGTGTTTAAAAGGTGATAAACAAACTTGCCTCGTCCTGCCTGTGTAACTATCCTTATTTACATACCTGTACAAATGTGAATTTTACAAACGTTCATATCATTCTGAAATACTCTGGGTATAATAGTTATTAGGTTATATGTCTACTTAGACCTGTATATGTACAGATATTCACACATCTCTTTAGCTCCTTCCACACTGGCTCTTCGTTAATATTTCTTATTCTTTATTCTTTTTATTTTATTTGTCCTTTAGAGACAGTCTGTGTGCTTGTCTTGTCTGTTCAGTGTGTTACACATGTGCGACTTACCAAGAGTAATTTCTTATATATGTAACAAAGTGGTTCTGATTCTCCACTTCAGAAAGGCTTTGTATTTGTAGTGACACCATGTGACCACCTGGGGGTGCTGTAGTCTCACTAATGACCCAGTACTTTGGCAACAAGGTTCCCTTTGCCTTTTGCATTTTACCTTTTAACACTAATGTGTCTTGTTAATTTTAGTCACTACACTGCTCTCTTAGAGCTATTTTAGCATTTTATATCTGGGTAAAGCACCCTGAAATTGTGTAAAATGAAAAGATTATTATTATTATTATTATTCATTGACATATTTATAGAGCTAAGGTAGCTAAAAAGCTGAAAAATATCTAAAGCTGGAATTGAAAGCTGTTAAGTTACTGTAAATAAATAAGAACACTGGCCTCATTCATCAACCATTCTTAAAAAGAAATTTCTTCTTAAAAGCCACTTACGCAGTTTTGAGGAAGATTCTGACATTCACTAAAGTTTTCTTATTTGGGATTTGTCCTTAGGTAAGAACAGAATCTACACACACTCAAGAGCACAAAGGTGAGAAAAGTTCTGCGCTTTAAGAACACGTCATGAATCTGACATAGACTTTTTCTTAGGACCTTTCTCAAGAACACATTTAAGAACAAACTTAGGAAGATGTTGGAGAATGAAGACCATTTAATACCGTTATACTGCTCTTACCTGTGTGTGATCTGAGTCCCTCGCAAACTGGACATGGTTTCTTCCAGATTCTGCCGGAGATCTGCAATGTTTTTAACGGTTCTCAGCCTCCTGGTCTCAGGATCTTCACCTGGAAGCAGAGTAAGGCAGATTAGCTTTGCTGATAATTAATTAAACACTGTATTAGGGCTGAAAGATAGATCTTTTTTTTAAATGCAATTTCATTTAATTATAGTCTACATTATCAAAAACGTTGTATTAAGTGGGGAAATTAAACCAAATAACAGAGTTTGTGAACTGCCTGTAGATGAGTTAGACCAACCATATTGAACCAAACCTCCATGTGTTATGACATCACAAGCACAACTTCCTGGCTGTCTGGCACACTACATTCAGGGGTCAAACCTCAAACCAGAAAAGTGGATATTCTGGTCTTTTTGAAAAACGTCTGAACCTTCATTTACACAAAGTAATCGCAATTTAAATCACAGTCACATTATAAGTCAGAAAAATCGTAATTAGATCTTTTCCCTAAATCATTCAGCACTACACCATGTTACAGATTAGCATTGATAATAATAAATTAATAAACAGTATGTTACAGCTTAGAAATGCAAATAATACATTAATAAACAAACAGTATGTTACAGACTAGCATTGCTACTAATATATTAATAAACAGCATGTTACAGAATAGCTGAAAATGAATGAAGCAGGACAAGTCTTTATATTTCTAAAAATAAATAACTAAAACAATAGAACTTCATGTAACGTTTCCAAACTGAGGGACTTTTTTACTATTTAACTCCACATTTCAGCCCATAATCACCTGTCAATCAAGTCTTCAAACAACAGCAAACTGAACAAAATATTGCTTAACAAACGCCGTTTGACCGTTATGGGGAAAATCTCTCCATTAGACCAGAGTTAGATGTAATCTCCATTTTCAGCCACCAGACAGACATCATCAATCTCTCAGACATGAATAATCAATCCTTCAGTCCGATATAATCACCTGATAAGTCTTCTATGGACGTCTGGTTGGTCTTGCTGAAGTTGCCGGAGTCCCCAGTGTGTCCTCCGGAGCCTGTTTCCATGGTAATACTGTCATCTCCTTCCGTCTGGGATCTAGCAAAGAAGTCCAAGGTGTCAGATTTGCTAACATAGAGCGAATGCTAATGGAGCCCTGCAATTGCTAATGCTAATTAGGTACAGGTGCATGTTGAAGTGTTTCAAATCCAGCTTTCTTTTCTCCAATGCTAAAAGCAAGAAAAACCAATCACAAGCAAGAGCCAATAAAAATGGACAAATGTAGTCGGTCAGCCAAGATGTGTTTGGTGTCTGAAGTTTTCTTTTTTTTTTTTAGCACTAGAGCTACGCTACGCTAAGCTGATATTACTAACAAGTAATGGAAGCCACCTATTAGCAATAGCATGCCTAATTTATCTCACACTCGCCACACACTGTATGGAGGTGTTCAGTATCTCTAACAGATTTTTTCCGACACTGTATTACTTGGTTACCTATAAACATAGACTAAATTCAGCCTTTAAGATGATGCTGCTACTGTTTTTAGCTATGCTAACGTCCTTTGGTCTTTGTTTTAGATAATAGCAACGAGAAGCTGCTTACTCGTCCTCTTCTACCTTCAACTGTTATATATGAAGTTTAACCAGTTTTACCAGAACTTGAACCTGAATTCGTAGTTCCAAGCATAACAGTCTTTTCCAAAGAACCAGTTATCTGGGCTTTAGTGTGATTTGGTCGAAGATCTATTTGTTTTTTTTGTTTTTTTTGGCCGCTTTCTCAAACGTCTTTGTCAATACCAAACTTCAAAGGCATCAATTTTTTTTTGTCTCGCTTGTTTAATGTCCAGCTTTCACATCCATAAAGAGCCAATGTGAAGAACACAGCCTGGACAGTTCTGATCTTTGTCTGGAGAGACAAATCGTTGAGCTGGAAAATCTTTTCAAGCTCCTTCATCCTCATTCTGCCGAGTGCCGATCTGGGTTGTATTTTTTGCCCATTGGATCCTTTTCCTGCTGAAAAAAACAGCACCGACCACCAAGAATTGCATGCTGGTCTAGTGCTGGTCTGGTGCTGGTTTAGCTGGTCACCAAGCAAAGTCATGCTGGCTGACCAGCATACCAGCATCCAAAACGTAACACATGCTGGTCTCGTGCTGGCTTTCTAGCTTGGTTGTTGTTAATAATTTTTTTTTTAATTTCTCCACATTTTCTCCCCAATTTCACTGAATCCAATTCCACCCACTTCTAAATCACGTTTGGTGTGTAAAGACCTTTAAAGCCATATCGAGACCACAGAAAGCCACAGTAGATCACGTGGCTTGAAATGTACACAGAGTGTCAGTCTTTTAGATAAACAGAGAAATGCTATGTATGTTTTCCCAGGTAACATTGGCAGCCTAGACTTTTTTAACCTCTTTTCTTTCAGCTGGAAAACAGTGAGTTTGTGAAGAGTAGATGCCAACTGATGCCAAGCTTGATAAATTATACTGAAAGCTTTATTTCATTAAGTGTGTACATGTAAAAAAAAGTGTAAAAATGAACTTTAACTTGATGTTAATCAGCTATGATTCATTCTACGAAGATTAGCAATGCTCTGTTACGTGATGCTACATGATGTACGTTGGTCTTAAAGAAGCAAACATGCCCTGGCTGTTTTACTGCATTTGGAGGAGGAGTTGGAGTATTCACTGTTAGGATTTGTGGAGGAGTGAAATGTGGGAATTTGATTGTTTTAGGGCAGAAAGAGTCTCTGTGCTCATGTTTCAGACTGTAAGCTCTGGACAGACAACTCCGCTCCGCTGCATAGACAGATCTAAAGCTGAGCTGATAGACAGATGTCTGGCAGCTGTGCTGCGATGTGGGTAAAAGGCGGTAGATAAAGGACCTCTGGAACCAGACAACGTCCAAAAGAGTTCTCATAGTGACAGTGGGGCCGAAGGTCACAGGGCACCGGCTGAGGAATACCATTAACAAAAATAAGCAGGAGGCAGAGAACATTCCGGAGGAAATACCAGGCAAACGCTTCACAGCTGAGCGTGATGGGGAGCATCACATATGCATGTGCACATATATGACCACAATGGGCAGCTCAGAGTTAACCCTTTAAAACAGTGGGACAAAATATTTTGGGGTGAAATCATGATCCCTAAAAAAACAAAACTGACCAAATTCGGACCAAGGACCAAACTGTTAAAAAACATTACACACACATATGTGTGTGTGTATATATATATATATATATATAATATATATATATATTGTATGTTTTGTAAAGTAAAGCTGAGCTGCTAGTGATAAAAATCACTTGTAGCGCTTTTTGCCATCTCATCTAGCGTTACTTTTCAAAAATGTAGTTTGCATTACATGGTTACCAAATAAGTGAACACAGTATACAATTTTTAAGCCATCATTCAATAAATGTCAAAACATCTACTGAAAAATTGTCAACGTTAAACAGTGCTGCTAATTAGGAAAGTAGAGCTGGTTAGTGTTAACTTCTTTAGCATGCTAACAGCTCTGCCCACCACAGAAAATGTTTGGTTCTGGCTGAGTAAAGCACTAACCCAGGTTTAGATGATTGAAAATACTTATTAAAATCTGAGAGAGTAAACAGAGGACAGTAAGGATAAATTAATGCTACCTTAACATTAGCTTAGCGAGCAACTACAGACCAAAATTGTGCCACCCATCACAGCACAGGCTTGATTCAGAGACTTGTGCTCTGTCGACAGAAAACAGAAATCGAACCCGTTCTGTGGTGTTTGAGAGAGCTTAGTTAGCATGCCAAACATGCCATACCACAGCACAGGGTTGGTTGTAGCTAACTGATGCTAAAAAAGTTACCTGTTTAGAGGATACTGCAAAATATTTTTTACATACCGCAGTATACCATATTATTGTCATACCGCCCAATCCTAACTCAATGTTGCTGTTTTATGTTATTTAATACTCTGTCTGGTTCACGTCACGTTTCTTTCTTGAAACTAAACAGTATTTAGTATCTGGACGCTCCGTGTAATGAGCGTATTTAGCTACTTTAATGTTACCTATTGCTGACACAGCTTGTATAATCTCCACAGAGAAGCACGGACCAATAAATTGGAACGCTCTACAGCAGCATGTGAGCCTAAGGTCACCAACCCCAATGCCAAGAGGGGCAAGAAGGGTATAAAGGGCAAAAAATGACAGCCAGGGCGTTACAGATTAGGGAAACTATTAAAAAGTAATTCAGTTATGTACAATTCTAAATAAAATAGTATGTTTGAAATTTTTAAAACCATTAAATGCTGCAAAATAGGGCAACACGAAAATTTTTTTTTTATTTTCAAATTCTGATTTCCTCCAGTGTCACCCGGAACAACCGACAACACGGCAGAAAAATGGAAAGAATGGGCAGGTTATTTTAAGAAGGTCTCAAACGAACTACATGATAAAATGCCAAGGTCAGTAGTTCTTTCAAAAATACTGAAGAAATAATTTTTGAGTCCCGGTTAGGCTTCAGTTTAAGAAGTCAGGTGACTTGAAAAACATGAAAAAGTTATTATTATAAAGTTTATTTACTTGAAAAAAAATATAGAACTTCAAGTTCAAGGAAAACATCTTTAAGGATGTCCAAGTATAAAAACTAGTTTCTAGAAGTTTTTAGTAGCAGTAAATAACTTTAAAATGTAATATTTAATATTTAAAATGTAATTTAATTAACTAACATGTGGGTGGAGCACCTGACATTTTCTGTGTGGGAAAATAATTATGTGGTGTCCAAGTACAAAGACTACTTTATACATATTTTCAGTACAGGTAAATAATCAGAGGTGATAAATAATTTTAAAAATATAAAATTTATTATTAATGTGGGTGATAAAATTGATAATCCTGTTTAAAAATGAATTTATACCACTGCAAAAGCTTTAAATATTTGCGAAACAAATATCTAAATATTGAATAGATTCTTGTAAATACAAAAATGCACATCATATCATTTAAATTCTTTTTTTTACTTGTTTTCTATAAAAATAAGCATAATTTAACAATCCTGTATTAATAACATACTGCGCTGTCTATTAAATTTGTGCATGCTATCTCCATCCTTACCTGTACATGAACGGTGCGACGGTGGCTGTGTTTGGGTGGCTGTACTGTTGCTGAGGCTGAGGCAGCTGCACACTGACTGTGTTGCTGGCTGTGGACTGTGTAGTACCTCCATTAGCCACCTGGGCGGTGCTGTTGGTCTGGTGGGCTTTACCCTCAGTGGAAGCAAGGCTGGAGGAGGAGGAGGAGTGGCGGCTGTCTCTATGGAGACTGATCCCTCCACCTAGCCGAATGCTACGTGGCCTCTCGTTGTCTTTGCCACCGAGGGCCGCTCCTGAGCCTTTCCCACCCGCAGAACTTTTAATGCCGGGTTTGGGGATGCTGCTGTGCGCAGGGGCAGAGTTATCCTTCTTGGCGTTGAGTTTACCCCCTTTAGGAATAAAGCTAGCAATTTTAGAGTTTCTTTTAGGCTCCGCCTCTGCCACTTCTGATGCTCCGGTCACTTCCTCCTCTTTAAACACCGCCTTCTCAGAGGTCACTTGATGCTTGGACTCCTCTTTTCCATGCTCCTTTTCTTTCTCTTTCTCCTTCTCCTTCGCCCTCTCCTTCTCTTTCTCCTTCTCCACATTTTTCGTTGAGGTTTTCTTAGCCGTTAGCGCTCTGCTAAAGGTCCGCTGAGCGATGCCCTTCAGGGCGATTTTTGGGCTGCTGCTAGTTAATCCGTTAGCAGGCCTAGCATTGCCCTCAGCCTCCTCCAGAGGCTCGGTGTTAGCACTAGCCTCTACTTTCTCCAGCACCACAGCTGTGTCTTTCCCCACAGCTGGAGGCACCACAGCGCCCTCTGGCTGCGCAGAGGACTTGGAGCCTCCTTTACTGTTGAAGAGCTTCAGCTTCTCCAGCATGGACCTCTGCGGAAGGGCTTTCGAAGGGGGTTCTGCGGGCGCTGGCTGCTTAGCCAGAGCTTCCTGCTTAGCTGTAAGAATGGTGGAGGTAGATGTGTGCTTGGTGCTCGTAGATTTGCTCCTCCAGGGTTTGCTGCTCGAGTTGGGCTGAGGGATGGCAGAGCCAGAAGATGAGGAGGAGGAGGAAGATGCCACAGTGCTGGTGAAGATGGAGGTGCTGACGGTTGCCAGGGACGACGGTGCATGCTCAGTCATACCTGGAGGATGGGAGGAGATGCTGTCCAATGATTCTGGAGGAGAAAGATGAAAAGAAAAGTGAGAAACGAAGAACGCTGAGATGAATGTCCTTCAACTAGCTTTTCAGGATGTCTTTAAAATAAAGGAGTCTTCCTTCTGCCGGTTTGTAATAGCTTACCACATTAGCAGTGTTAAATCACAATGAAAAAGTAAGGAAGAAAAAGAACAGTTTTACAGAAGACAACAATCTCTCCAGCCATACAAGGTCTGCTGGTCCTGAGCCACCTACAGCCAGACTGAGCACCATTCTAAAGCGTTTACATTAACACTGAGAGCACAAACTTAATGTTCAAAATCTTCTGCCAAAATCCTGTCAGTGCATTCTCACTATCAGGGACGAAGATTTCTGTAAATTACTATTGCACATGATTATCAAAAACAAAACGGGCTCAGCATTGAGCCCTGAGGCACTACACTTCACGATCTGAAATTAAATGAGAAAAATACGTCTTATATTACTAAAACTTTTAAAGGTGAGTATGTTTCTTATTGCTTACCCCTAAAAAAAGAAACAATCCAGTTGTAGTCCTCACATATCAAAGAAAAATCTTCTTTAACAACCAACTTAAAAATTGAGTAAAAAGTGTTTAACATCCAGATAGTAAGTTCCAGCAGTTGAGAGAGCCTCCAGAAAAGACTGAGTGAACCACTCACTGATGCTACTTTCAGAAAAACTCCCCTAGACCTCCCCCAACTCTCTCTCTCTCTCTCTCTCTCACTCTCTCTCTTCTTAGGAGGTCCTGACTCATCGAGGAATGCACCCAAACTCTTTTGTTTAGTACTGGATTCAAAGTAATGTAAATTAAACTTTTGTAATGTAATGTAAATTAAACATTTTCCCTCCTTAAACTCAAAGCTTATTGTAATGTAAGTGTAATTAATGTCAATTGTGAAAACCTTAAACTCTAGACTTATTATTGAGTTAATAAGCTTAAGGCTTTTGTTAAGCAACTACAAATTACTTCCACAATACTAATATGTAACTTGAATTGTAATATGTACTTTTTTTTTTAGAAATCAGAGTTAGAAATCTATACAGATATCTAGATTTTTCAGCTACACTCTCAGCAAAAAGGGGTCTGTACTGTACTGAAAAGGGGTTCTTTGACTGGGAAAGATAGTGGAACCCTTTTTGGTGCATTCAGATGGTTCTTTGAGTATTAATGGTTCTATAAAGAACGACTTCCTTGACTAAAGAACCCTTCGAGAACCTTTTTAAGAGTGATAATCACAACACATTATTAACATGGTGAAATTCATTACAATCCTGAATCTAAAAGAAATTTCACAACCTGCCAGCAATACTTTGTCTACGAATGCATTTAAGTACTTTATTCAATAAGTTTATTCAAATCTACATGTTACAAATTCTAAGTTGAATCAGTTTATTTGTTATCCTAGTCAAATTCCCACAATATAATACAATAAAACAATCCAGTGTTAATCTTTGAATCTGTGAGCGCGTTCTGTCTGTCTCTGAACGTTTATTCAGTGTTTTTCTGAAAGTGGAGAGCATAGTGTCCCACATCCTCCCGCTTAGGATCAGCAAGCGGCACAAAAACAAAGCAAGAATTAGGAAGTGATTAAGGCCCAATTAGCCACGGCAGCCAGAAAGAAATGGGTCAGAACCACTAATGACTTCCAATAGCTGGAGGAGAGAGAGAAAGAGAGAGAGAGAGAGATGCACATATAGAGAGATTCATTGATTAATATCTTGGCAATAACATCAGCGCTGCAATTGCAACACAGTTATCACCACCAGTAAAAAAGATGGTTCTTCAAGGGTTCTTTAGTAAAGAAAATGGTTATATACAGGACCATGAACAAACAAAGAACGCTTTGCTTGATAAAAAGGGTTATTTGCATTGTGAAAGGGTTCTTCAGATTGCAGAGTGCTGTGGATGGTTTTATATAGAACCTTTTTGAAAAGGGTTCTATATTGCAGCAGAAAGGGTTCTGCTATTGTTATGATGTGAAGCCTATAACAATAAAAGTACCCTTTTTTGGTCCTATATAGAACCCTTTTCAAAAAGGTTCCATACAGAACCACAGCACATTCTCTAACAATCTGAAGAACCATTTCATGACGCAAAGAAGCTTTAATCATGCAAAGGGTTTGTGGCATGCGCACGCCCCCCGGGCCCCGACGATGACGGCCGCGAGAGCGGGCAGGAAGGCGGGGCCCGAACACACAGCGGCGACGAACCTTGGCGAGGACAGCAGTGAGAGAGCCGCGAGTGTGGAGGGGGCGGAGCGCAAAGCCCGAGCTCCGCCGACGAACGCGGGTCACGCGAGTGACGTCGTGAGGAGGAGGACGAGGACGATGATGCCGGCCACGAGAGGCACCAAGGCGAGGAGCGAGCTGCTGCAAACCTGAATCCTGCCTCCAGCGTCCTCCTTGAGCCCGGGGTAGCACATACGGTGCAACAGTTGTTTGAGTGTTTGGTTCAATTCCTTTGGTCACTAAAAGTTTCCTCCAAAATAAATAAATCAGTACATTTTTTTATGAAGAACGAACAGGACAAGACTCCAGCAGATTTAAGGAAACATTTCTAAATATATTTGAATCCCTGCAATATCACAGAGCGCTGCAAAGAGCGGGCTATGTGCTTCTCCCGTTAATGTTTGGTCATTTGTTCACAGTTATCTTGTTTTGTTGGGTTAAATATCCAGAGTCTTCAATCAGGATTAAAAAAAGAGGACCAGGCTACTTATTACGCAGTGAATATTTTGAACGCCCATGTTGTTTATTAGTACATTAAATTTCTGGCTCAATATTTTATTGTTGCGTTTGGTCTCATGCTTTGCCTTATGTTTGCCCCGCCCACGGACACCAGATGATCTCAATCTGGCCCTCCTCAATCCAGACCACATTAGTGTCTGTAAGTCGAAGAGGAGGTGCTTCATTATGATCTGACTTGTTTTGCAGAAGGACAAAAACATTCTTTTCAATTTTAATGTTTTTGCCTTTTTTTTAAGTAAAAATGCAAAAAGGTCAAAGAGCGCAGATGCAAACCCGCGTATTTAGAATGGAAGTCAAATGCAAATGTAATTAATTCTGTTATTATATTTAAATAACGGGGCAAAAACACAGTGCTAACACTAGAACACTAGAAATCTAAAGGCTACATATCAGGATGTCTGGAGGTCATGTAGGAGTATAAACTCCTGTCTGAGGGTCAAAGGAACCCCCCCCCCAACTCCCCAACGCCCACCGCCCCAAGACTAGGCTGGTCCAGACAGGCCCATATTTAAGTCATTAATACTCCAAAGCTAAATGACCACCATCATTATCCCATTAGTAAAGGGCAGACAATTCAGATCATTACTGCACAGGAACCACCACCAAGAGTTAAACGGTTCTTTAGTAAAGACAGTAGTAGTCTATATGGAAGCATAACAACTCAAAGAACCATTTAGATGATTAAATGTTTATTGGTAAAATGGTTTTTCAAATTGATGGAGAATGTTCTATATAGGACCAAAAAGGTTTCTGCTGTTGTTATGATGTGAAGCTTGTAACAATAGCACATCTCTTTTAGGTGCTATATAGAACCATTTTCAAAAAGGTCTACATGGAACCATGTATAGTACATTCTCCATCAATCTGAAAAACCATTTCACCATGCAAAGAACCACTTAAGCATGCAAATGGTTCTTTAAGTGTTCATGGCTCTACATAGAACCACTGTCTTCACTGAATAACCCTTGAAGAACCATCTTTAAAAGTGCACATATAATCAGCCAAGACATGTTTGGTATCTGAAGCTAGACAATTTGAGGCGAATGATGATTTAGTCATGCAGTTATCACAGTGCTAATTGGTGGAATATAAGTTTCCAATACTTGTTAGCTACATTAGCCTTGTAGCTCCAGCGATAAAAAAAACTAAAGAAGCAAACTGCAGACACCAAACACGTCTGATTGGCTACATTTTGGGTCATTTTTCACCAAACTATCGCTTTAAAATTATCACTTTAACTCCCTCTGTTTCTTTTTGTTTCTATATAACACTCACAGTCACACAGTAATGTTAAAAACACACGTCTATGTTTTGGAGCACATCAGTCAGGATGATAAGATTGGATCTGTGATAATGCTGAGATAAGGTCATCCACTAGCGCAGGAAACAGTGTGAGCACAGAATATTAGGCCACACCACACGCCCTCCTCCATCTCGCTCGATTCTCTCTCTGTCACACTTCAGCTTTAGAAACAGAAAGACAGAAAGAAAGAGTCCAGAGAGAGAGTCCTGAAAAGTCACCACTTAAAATGGCGTAAAATCATTGATCAGAGCAATCTGAGAGCTGTGTGGGTGTGGCCTAATATTTTAATGACAACATGTAATTGACAGCCCATTGAAAGCACTAGAGACGTCTTTAAAAGCGCAGTATACGATGCTGTATTCTATGACGTTAGAATGTTAGAGCGAACACACCAGCACCTCAGCTTCTTGTTCAAATTTTTGCGTTCCACCTTAAATGGTGCAGCCGTTACATTTCGCTGCCTCAGCTTATTGTTAAAATTTTCCCGTTCCACCTTAAATGGTGCAGCAGTTACATTCCGGCGCCTCAGCTTCTTGTTTGAATTTTCCCCTTCCACCTTAAATGGTGCAGCAGTTACATTCCGGCACCTCAACTTCTTGTTTGAATTTTCCCCTTCCACCTTAAATGGTGCAGCAGTTACATTCCGGCGCCTCAGCTTCTTGTTTGAATTTTCCCCTTCCACCTTAAATAGTGCAGCAGTTACATTCCGGCGCCTCAGCTTCTTGTTCAAATTTTTCTGTTCAACCTTAAATGGTGCAGCAGTTACATTTTGCCGCCTCAGCTCCTTTTTAAAATGTTCTCATTTCACCTTAAATGGTGCAGCAGCTACATTCTGGCGCCTCAGGTTCTTGTTCGAATTTTTCTGTTCCACCTTAAATGGTGCAGCAGTTACATTCCGGCGCCTCAGCTTCTTGTTTGAATTTTCCTGCCTTAAATGGTGCAGCAGTTACATTCCAGCGCCTCAGCTTTTCTTTAAAATTTTCCCGTTCCACCTTAAATGGTGCAGCAGTTACAGTCAAATACCTCAAGTACCAGAATGGAACTGCTGCATGATTTAAGGTGGAACAGGAAAATGCATATAGGAAGCCAACTTCAGCCTCGTCAGCTCTCTGAGGTCTCTCCCTCACCTGATCTAGAACTTCTTTCTCAATCTTGGTTCTTCAGATTTTCTCCTCTTTTGCTGTTTCTCAGCCCTCTCGCCTTCTCCTCTAGCCCCTCCCCTATACCACTGTCCTGTGTACGAGCATAAACGCCCCCTGCTGCTGATTGGCTGGAATAGTGTTGTCATTCGAACGAAGACATCGTTTGTTTCTCGTTTACAGAGCCAGAGCTGAGAAACAATTCCAGCGTGTGCACAGAACGGAGAGCCAGCAGAATTTGACAAAAACTGGCTACATTACTAGTCAAATGTGATATTGTCATAATTTATTTCCATTTAAATAATTATGTGAAGTAACTACAAACACAGTGTGAAGAGTTTTACCTGCTATTTGCAGAAATCATGCCACAATATGAAGTGGATACACCTTTTGTGAAGCTCTGAAAGACTGAACTGTCTCATTTAGTTTCCTCTCTCTCTCTCTCTCTCTCTCTTTCCACTCAGTGCCAGTTTAACACTAATTGGAGCTCATTTACTGCAGAAACTTTCAGTGCTCTGTTCTCACACACAGCAACCTCAGTGACCTCATGTCCAGCAGAACATAGTTGAGCTGTGAGTTGTACAGAATCACCAGTTCAGTTTAAACAGGATCGTCTCACAGAGAGGAATCAGTGCATCGTAACATCTCAAACTTCACTATGACTCTTTCTGATTATGATTCTTTAGGAGATCATTCCTTAGGAAACAATTCTTTAGGAAATGATTCAGTGCATTATGAAATCTTACATTTCAAATCAACTTATGTTATGATTCTTTAAGAAATAATTCTTTACAAAAAGATTCTTTAGTAAATGATTCTTTAGGAAACAATTCAATGCATCATGAAATCTTAAATTTCACCACGACTTCAATCATGATTCTTTAGGAAATGATTCTTTATTAAATGATTGAATGGATCCAATTTCACCATGATTCAATTTGAAGGAAATGGTTCAGTAGGAAATGATTTAGTGCATCATGAAATCTAAAATTTGACCATGATTCAATTAAATTATGATATTTTAGGAAAACAATTTTACAGAAAATTACTCAATAAGAAAAGAATCTTTAGGAAACAATTCAATGTACTATGCAGTGTGTGTGAGTGTGTGTGTGTGTGTGTGTGTGTGTGTGTGTGTGTGTGTGTGCATGTTTGTGTGTGTGACCTCTTTTCTAAGTTTGTTCTTCTGATGTAGTGGTAGCTCTCAAAGCAGATCTCCACATGACCTTAGTCCACATGTTCCTCCTTTTGCTTTATTTATCCAACGCCACCTCTCATCGTTAAAATGATCAGTCAGCCTGGACTGTTCGTGTCAGCAGTACACTTCTCTAGTTTCAGCGCTGGAGCTACTAGGCTAATGTAGCTAACAACGGATTAAAGCTTATACCCCACCAATTAGCACCTAAATCATCACACACTCGCTTCAAATTGTGTGGAGATGTTCAGTATCTCTAACAGACGTGATTATGCAGATCTGACTCTATATGGACACAAATTCAGTTCTATGTTCTGTATGATGTCACAGGCAATGACGCCCCCCAGAGGTCAGAGCCACCACAAAACACCACACACACACACACACACACGTCTGCAGGTTTATTAGACTGACGACACACAAAAGAGAACCATGAACACATGTGTGTGTGTGTGTGCGTATGTATATATTTAGATTTAGATAGATAGATAGACAGACAGGCAGACAGACAGACAGATAGATAGATACATACATAGATAGATAGACAGATAGATATATAGATAGATAGATAGATAGATAGATAGATAGACAGACAAACAGTTAGATAGACAGTAATATTAATATCAGTCCACTCTCTGACCTTTGGGCTGAGGAACTGCAGTTTTGCTGTTCTTCTCGCTGCTGAAGGCCTGACTCCGACGGTTCCCTGCTGAACTGACGGACCCCCGGGGAGACCCCTCACTGCCCACAACACACACCCGGGCTGTAGGGCCAGGGAGTCTGAGAAAGTGTGTGTGGGTGAGAGAGAGAGAGAGAGAGCATAAAGAGGTTTCTGACTGAGTGTGCGCTTCACATTAGTGAAATTTAATTTTCTGGGCTAATTTAGTGAACGGCAAACATAGCAAGCATCCAGCGCTCTCACACAGATGTAAAAACACACCAGCAAACAGTATAGCACGCGATCAGGCTGAAAATCACCCAAAAGTCCAGAGTGAAGCTGAGCGCTAATTACAGTGAACCGTGTTTAAGGCAGCACTCCTGAAGAAGCTGATGTCAGTGTGTGTATTTACTCCACATGCAGGCCGTTTGAGATCGTACAGACTGGTATTAGTGAAGTTTAGAGAAATAAATGACAGTATTTTCCCCTGCGATGAGCTCCAGTGTGACACGCAGCTCTACATAAGTTTAATCAGCATTTATCACTCATATTTACACGCCGTTTCTGCCTGACAGCTCGTCAGTGACCTTAAACAGTGCAATCTCCTTCAGCATACGTCACAAACGCTCAGTGACGCTGGACGTCCTTCATAAGTCAACATCGTTACTGTAATGAGCAAACCTACAGCCACGCTGACCTCCTGTCACAGTAAACGGCTTTCAGCTGAGTGGCAGTGACCCTTATATTATTGATTAATCTGTCTTAGTCCACACAGCTTGATTCCGCCCTTTATTTCCTTTATACTTCAGTTTATACTGTATGTAAATATTCAGCTGCATTTATAAACCCATAATCCTGATATTTATCTAAAGACATTCTTTAAGCTAACTTCATCTTTTTATCTGTATGCTTAAATCGTTCTTTGCATGGTGAAATGGTTCTTCAGATTGATAAAGAATGTGGTTCTATATTGCACCAAAAAGGGCTCTGCTATTGTTACAATGTCAAGCTTGCATACAATAGAAGAACCCTTTTAGTGCTATATAGAACCATATACAATATATTCTCCATCAGTCTCAAGATCTGTTGAAGAATCATCCTTTTTAGGAGTGTAGTTGTGAGAAGATTTTGGTTCTAAAACATTTTTTTTAATCCATTTATGGGGAAAAGGTACATGTAGGGCATTTCGAGGCAAAAAAACGTATTATTTTAGATTTTCCACTATTTGCCTATCATCAGCATTCCATATAAAACTCAGAAGATGTGTGTAGGTTCACTGGTGGTTTTGGATAGTAAATAAAATGTCTATATTTGTGTTGTAGTCATGGCGACCCCTGGTTCCTATCACAACCACTGTAAACAAATCTGAACTATTTCACACCAAACCACTCTGAATCACTCTGCTTATATCTACACACTCAATTATGGGGGGATTTAAAAAAAAAAAATCAGTGGAATTCCTCTTTAATCTTCTCTCAGCCTAGAAAACCTGGAAGAGTACCTATCTGTAATTACATCTGATTACCAACAGAGGGCACAATAACACTTTATTCAGAATTTAACTGAAAACAAATCTACAGTATTTACATTCAATAGAAAAGTAAAACTGGCCCAAACAAGAATAAATCAAAATTCAATTTGTTCAATATGAAAATAATATTCCATTGTTTGAATTCTGAATTATTATTTTTAGTATTTGAAAAAGCAACAAAACAAAAGCGACACCACGCAGTTTATTTAAAAACAGCCTCACCAACAGTGTTGACAGATTGTGTGGGTTCCCACTAAATTGGGTGGGTTTTAGGTTACATGTATTTATTTAAATTTATATTTAAAATCTGGGCTGATGTGTTATTATTTTTGGTAGATTTTTAAAAAGTGTATTTAATAACGCTATTAATTACTTAATAACGCAGCTGAAATTAGAACAGACTGAAACCCACATCCAAACATGGTGAGAGAAGGCTGTTCACAGTCCACATCAGTGGTTAAAGTAAAGTTTATTAATGATGTAATGGAGGTGCGTTGGAGTCTAACATAATATAGACCATTCAGTTCACTCTGCATTACAGAATAGACACAGTTCTGCTATAGAAGGAAATTGGAATGACCCGTGATCTGTTCAGCAGAGCCTATAAAGGTAAACAAGTTTTAAAAATGTATATCAGGAATAGTTACACTTGCAATGTTAATGCTATTCATTTGCCTTTCTGAAAGCATGGGATAATGGGACCTATCACACCACAAAAATGTTAATGGGTTTGTGTGAGCTCTGCAAGTTATGGAAATAAGATGCACATATCGATCAAATACTGTCATTATTTCATAAATATTACTTAAAGTTTCTTTGTTCAGTCATTTCTTAGATGTTTGACAAGGATACTAAAGATTTTGGTTCTTTTATATTTGGCAATCTGGCAACAATGCTAACCAAATGTGCTAACGTGGCTAACTATGAATATAAGCTAGCCACCAGTTAGCATTATGCCAGTTCCATAATGCTAACTGGCAGCTATTCGTTTTTATTCACTGTTAGCAACATTAGTGTTTTTGATTGACAATCCTTTATAGAAGTCATTGATTGGGTATTCAGCACTGTGGGTAAAGAAACTGAAAAAAAAATACTGAAAAATAAAACCATATCACAGCACTCAAAATAACTTGCACTTAATGCAAGCACTTAAAATTAATAATTAATATCACACTGAAGCAGGAAACCACACAAACACAGCGGTTAACCAAATATCTGCAGTTCAGTGAGTGGAGACTCATGCTGAGGACAAAACACAAATCCATCTTCAATAGTTAAAAAAATTAAATTCCCTCAAAATGTAGTCAATCAGCCAAGACATGTTAGCCACGAGGATAATGTAACATTAGCTAAGCAATGGAAGCTTATTTCCCCATCATAGCATCATGTCATACAGAGTCAGAAACCACATAAACAAGTCTATTAGAGATTAATGAACAACCCTACACGGTCTGTGGTGATTTAGGCATGAAGTTAGCACCATGCTAATCGGTGGTTAGCTACATTAGCCTCATAGCTCCAGTGCTAAAGCTAAAGAAGCATGTCTTGGCTGGTCGGCTACATTTGGGTATGGGGGAGGACTGTGCATAGTCTCCTCAACTGTTTGCCACTGATGCACAGAACATAGCTTTGGTTCTGCTTTCTGGAGAACGTGGCTAGCAGAGCTATGTTCTTAAATGCATTCAGAACAATCAAGGATTTAAAATTTCTGGAGGAATTGCCCTTTACTGCGTCCAGAGGGTTGCTGAGGATGAGGAGAGTGAGGAATGTCAAGCAGAAAGTGAGGAAAGCAGAGGAGCGAATGAGTGAGAGAGAAAAAGAGAGAGAGAGAAAGAGAGAGAGAGAGAGAGAGAGAGAGAGAGAGAGAGAGAGAGAGCGCTAACCTAGTCGATTTTTTCTGGCCAATGGAAAACTTGAGAAGTTTGCTGTCAGAGGCACCCCTACATTGGAAGAAGGGAGAGAGACAATGGAAAAGAGAGAGAGAGAGAGGGAGGGAGGGAGGGGGAGAGAGAGAGAGAGAGGGAGGGAGGGAGGGGGAGAGAGAGAGAGAGGGAGGGAGGGGGGGGAGAGAGAGAGAGAGGGAGGGAGGGAGGGAGAGAGAGAGAGAAAGAGAAAGAGAGAGAGAATATATGAACATGAATTAGGTAGTACAGCAGAGTCGATTTCCAGGAGGAAACAAGTGCAACAGCTCCAGTCCAAAGTCTGGACCCACCTGCCTAAAGGGCCATTCCACCCATTTTTCAAAATTCCTCCATAACTGAGTGTTTGAGGTGTAAACAGAGTGATTCAAAGTGATTTGGTGTAAAATGCTTCAGATTTGTTTAAAGTGGTGGTGATAGGAACCAGGTGTCGCCATCACTACAACACAAATATAGACATTTTATTTACTATCCAAAACTACCAGTGAACCTACACGTGTCTTCTGAATTTTATATGGAATGTTGATGATAGGAAAATCTGAAATAAATGAGTGGAAAATCTGAAATAATATGTTTTCTTTGGGGACTATTTTGCCTCACAGTGCCCTGCATGTATCCCTCCATCATGAATGGAGTTTAAGTTCTCAAAACTATTGTAAAACAGTGTCTCAGACATCAGGCAATGTATTCATAACCATTTCATGTAATAACTTTCTATGAGGGAGCATTTAGAGTTGGACGTCTGTAAGTTTCTTTAGAACAGAGTGTTTCACACCAAACCACTCTGAATGACTCTGCTTACATCTTAACCATTTAATTATGCATAAATTTCCCTTTTTTGATGTCTTGTTATTCTAAAGAAATAAAGAAAATCTTTCAACAGGTCATCTGACTGTAACTGGAGAAAATCAGAGAAAGCACAGACAGTCTTAAAGTGGCTGAAAGGCTTTAAGATCATTCACTCATTTCAGTTCAGCTCAGTTTTAGTGTGATAAAGAGAAAATACCGGGTCATTACCTGGACTGCATCTCTGCCTGCACTCGGTGTGTGTGTGTCCCATGCGGGGGGGGAGAGTTTGTGCTGCTCTGAGCGCTGTGTGAGTGTGTGTGTGTCACAGGCTGCTGTCTCTGCTGCTGCTGCTGTTTGTAGCGAGACAAACTGAAGAAAAGCCCCAAAATCGCCTTCAGATTACCATTCCTGATCTCTGCAGAGAGAAAAAGAGACTGTTAAAAGGCCATATCATGGAAAACTGAATTTTATTCACTATTTTAAATGAAAGAGTGCCATGTAAACACTGCTAAAGCTTCAGTACAGCTCATTCTCCAGTCCATACAGTCTACATTTTGAAACTAAACTGAAGGAACAACCCATTTAGAATTTTTTGTAATGTCACCAAAAAACAATCTCCAGCATACTGTATATCCGCCTACAGCAGTTTAGCCCCACCCATTCACACTGAAGTCATAGTGTTTCAGCCCAGGTAGCTTTTTGAATGAGGCACAGCCAATCAGAACAGAGCTCATTTACATATATCAATCTTAAAGGCACAGTAAGAAAAACAGGCTGTTTAATTCTAAGGGATACATTTATGTACAGAGAGATGACAAACAAAAATAGATCTAACAGTTTTCAAACTGTACGTCCGAAAGTCTCCAGCGTTTCTTCTGAAATGAAGGTGTTAATAGTGAGTTTGTGCTGCAGTCTCAGTTGAACATTGATGTGAGGATTTTAAAGAGCATTAGTGAGGTCAGGTATTGATGTTGGGTGGTCAGTTCTGGACACTCCAACTCATCCCAAAACCTTTGAATGGAGCTCCATCACTCCAGCTCATCTCAAAGCTGCTCAGTGAAATTAAATTTTTATGACTTATCCCAAAGATCTTCAATGGATCTTCATCACTCCAACTCATCCCAAAGGTGTTCAGAGGCGCTCTATCACTCCAACTCATCCCAAGGTGTTTAGTGGAGCTCCATGACTCCATCTCATCCCAAAAGTGTTCAGTGGAGCTCCATGACTCCAACTCTTCCCAAAAGTGTTCAGTGGAGCTCCATCACTCCAACTCATCCCAAAGGTGTTCAGTGGAGCTCCATCACTCCAACTCATCCCAAAGGTGTTCAGTGGAGCCCCATTACTCCAACTCATCCCAGAGATGTTCAGTGGCGCTTTATCACTCCAACTCATCCCAAAGGTGTTCAGTGAAGCTCTATCACTCCAACTCACCCCAAGGTGTTTAGTGGAGCTCCATCACTCCAACGCATCCCAAAGGTGTTCAGTGGAGCTTCATCACTCCAACTCATCCCAAAGGTGTTCAGTGGAGCCCCATTACTCCAACTCATCCCAAAGGTGCTCAGTGGAGCTTTATCACTCCAACTCATTCCAAAGGTGTTCAGTGAAGCTCTATCACTCCAACTCACCCCAAGGTGTTTAGTGGAGCACTCTATCTTATTCCAAAAGTGCTTAGTGGAGCTCCATCACTCCAACTCATCCCAAAGGTGCTCAGAGGAGCTCCATCACTCCAACTCATCCCAAAGGTGCTCAGTGGAGCCCCATCACTTCGGCTCATCCCAGAAGTGCTCAATGCAGGTTCTTCCTCTCCAGAGAGTGTAGTTCCATTGCTTTATACTCCTCTAGCAATAAAGTTCTAGCACTAATCATATTGTTTTTGTCAACATAGAGAGTGAAGCAGTCATTCCAATAATGCCAATTAAACTAAAATAATACGAATGACAATGTAAGCTTATTGTTAACTAACATTATGTTTTCATGAAAGCACTGTAACGTCTCTGCAATGGACAGTGCATGAAACAGTAACTAGAGCTCTGTTCACCTACCTTCAGCAGACAGTCCCTGTATGTTCACACCTTTAGCTGCCAGAAACGCCAGACAGGTATCAATATTCTCAATCTGCAGAGAGAGGAGAGAGAGAGAGAGGCATTTAAAATGGTTTATATTACAAAAACAATGAAGAACTCAGACCACCTGAAACAAACAGGACAACACCACCAATCAAGGCTACAGTGAGCTGTTCTACCTGTAGCCCTATGCTTACCGCACAAGTGTGTGTGTGGTGTGTGCGCGTATGTGCACTGATAAGTTACTCGGATTGTTCAGTCAAAGCAGCATGCAAACCCTCTCAACATTAAGGGCGTTTCATCGGCCCTGTTGCTAGGAGATGCTGTCCTTATAACAGCACTGACCAAGCAGGTAAAGAAGGATTCCGATTGGCTGAAGGTCACACATGCATCGTCCAAATGTTTCGAATAATTTTTCAATTTTTAAATATTTAGGAAACAAGAAGAAAATGATGCATCATATTTTCTATTTATAATACAGTAAAGTATATGTGCAATAATACATCTGTTTGCAAAAAGATATAAGGAAATATGAGGCTTATTAGAAATTCATTCTGGATATTAACTGCATTAGAACTTTCATTCTTGATGTTCTACAGCTTCCTCAGTCATTTTAGAATCTACTACGCCTCTTTGCATCTAACATTTCTTATTTTTTTCTGTTTACAGCTTCATACTGATTATTAGAAATCTGTGAAGCTGTTGTCTAGGATGAGCAGATTAGAATGATTTAATACATTTATCTGCAATCAAATTACTCTATTACTGAAAAACAGCAAATCGAAACTTGAATGATGTGTATTGCATATATATATTTAAGGAAGCCAAACATGACATATTTAACCAACATACAGAATGACTTAGATATATAAGAAATAAAAAGATGTTCATAACAGTGTTTGTTAAGAATTTCCTGTTTGGCTTGTCTTTATATATATTATTATATATATCTTTTTCAGTGAACTGTAGATGGTCATGTTTTGGAAATTGGAGCTCGACTGGAGTCTTTGCTGCTTTATATAGTGACCTACACTGTCACAGCTACTACAGGAAACGTTTCAAATGACGCTGAAACTGCCCTCGAAAAGGTTCCAACATAATAAACGTTTAATTTCTGGAACACGCCTTAGGAGTACAAACCCAGCTGTAGCTGCATGACATCATCAGCGTTTATATCAGAGCTCCAACGGCTGGTTTTACAGAGTAAACAATGAGCAATATCAGAACACACAAACTCTGATTCATCTGTACTCCAGCAGGTCAAAAGGGGACCAGCAGGATTCCGAACAGTTGAATTAAATAAACCGAAACCTAAATTAAATCATTATTTAGACAAAACCTGCTCTTCAAAACAAAGAAGACACACTGATAAACATGAAGCTAAGTGTTAAAGACAAATATACACAAAGCATCAGCACAGAGCAGCTTTGCAATTACTAAACCAGCAGAGGGAGTTCAGCAAAAAGTACCTGTGAGAAAGTTCAATTTCAAAAGAATCTGAACTTTTAACAATCAGTCCAGATCTTGTTAAAAGGCGCTCAACAAAAAACAGTGATATTACCAGAACTGTATCAAACAGTGAGAAAATCACTGGTAAATTCCACAACTCCAAAACTGGTCTGGTTTGGTGTCTGTTTGGTCACTATAGAGCCTCTACAACACAAATATAGACATTTTATTTACTATCCAAAACCACCAGTGAACCTACACGAGTCTTCTAAGTTTTACATGGAATGTTGATGATGGGAAAATAGTGGAAAATCTGAAATAATATGTTTTCTTTGGGGACTGTTTTGCCTCTGCATGTATCCCTCCACCATGAATGGAGTTTAAGTTCACAAAACTATTATAAAACAGTGTCTCAGTCATCAGGCGGTGTATTCATAACCATTTCATGTAATAACTTTCTGTGAGGGAGCTTTTAGAGGTGGACGTCTTGTTCCTATCACCACCACTGTGAACAATTCTGACTCTGTAAGTTTCTCTAGAATGGAGCGTTTTACACTCTGACGAACCACTCTGTCAACAGTTCATTTATGAAGACATTTTGAAAAATTGGTGGAATTTCCCTTTATATACACACAATGAAATACCTGCACATTCATAGACTTTTACGTGTAGATGCAACAGTACCAAACCGGCGTTTGTTTCTGATCTGCTGTGTCACTGATCTCACACAAACACTGTCCAGCTGCTGCTGGGTGACAGCTGTACTCGACGGGGGTCACAGAGTGGAATTATGGGGCCTCTTCTAAATTCCACTGTCCCTTTAAAATACCCCCACCCCAGCACTCAGGGTAAAAATAACCAATCTAAATAAAAACATCTTCTAGACTGTTCACTGTTCATGCAGTTTATTCCTCAGCTGAAGTGATACTGCTACATAGTGTGATTGATATATTCATTATTAAAGCTGTAATCCACTGTAGGTCAAACATTACAGTGATTTACCCACAGTTACAGGGTTTTAGGTATTAGGTATTAGGTGTGGAATAAACTCGATATAACATACAGTTGACAGTGGATTACTGCTTTTACAAAACTACCACAAAATACAAAATGATAAAATACACCACTGATCAATACATAATTTCAGTTATTTAATAATAATAATGATCACCACAAGCATCTTCACCACCATGAAATGTAGTTTTTTAACAGTGGGTTATAGTTGCTAAGAAACATAACAGTCAGAGATTATTCTGAACAACAAACAACAGTGTTTTTTAATAATAAATGTGTATTAATTCAGAATTCAGTTTATATGTGAGCACATGTGTATGTCTATTAAGGCTTTTATGGTGTTAAAACATTTCTCAGCCAATCAGACTTTAGAACAAGGCTGGGCAATATGACAATATATACCATTATTGTGATAAATTATGTCATAATACAATACAGTATCCTTTTCTGAACACATGGTGTATATCGTCAGTACTTGTAGACACTGACCAACTGCATGTTTCATTTCATTATAAAGAGAGTTCTCACAATTTTTGATTTATTTTTAGAATGTAGCTCTACTGGCTTGTTTTATCTCTGTTCCAACTGATCAGATGTCTGAAAAAATGAATACTGCAATATACTGTGTATCATGAAAATTCATTGAACTATCGCAATATTATATTTTTTGCCATACCGCCCAGCTCAGCTTAAATTCACAATTCAGCCAGTTCAATTCTGGAACCATAAGAGCCAATCAGATTATAACGTCAGTACAGCTGATTAGATTTCGGAACTGTCAAACAGTTAAACATTAGAATGCTTTATTTAGGCCAACATAATTTCCTTTTGTTGGATAACATTCCAAATAAAACTCAGAAGACACGTGTAGGTCCACTGGTAGTTTTGGATAGTAAATAAAATGTCTATATTTGTGCTGTAGTCATGGTGATCTCTGGTTTCTATCACCACCACTGTAAAAAAGTCTGAACCATTTCACACCAAACCACTCTGAACCACTCTGTTTACATCTCACACACTCAATTATGGAGAAATTTTGAAAGACGAGTGGAATTCCCCTCTAAAGTCCTCGTGTTTTTATTTACAGTGTCTCTGCTTCTGCTGTGTGCATTTGAGCCTTATATTATAATCTTTTTACTTGACTGTTTAACATGTTAATTTGCCAATTTATCCTTTTATGTTGAAATCTCATTAATTGGTTTACTATCTTGTTTAATCATGTTTCTCCTTCTTAATCAAATCTCAATTGTTCTCTTAGTTATTTTGCCATTTATCTTTACTGATTTTTCTGTTAATTTGTTTATGTAGTTTGGTTAATTTTAGTTTCACCTGATTAAATTCCTTTTTTTTAATTCCTTTAATGTTGTAAATGCTCAGCTATATTAAAAAATGAGGGTCACCCTCAATGTATTTCAGAGTGAAAATAAAGGTTGACTGATTGATTAATATAGAACTATTTTCTTTACTAAAGAACCCCTAAAGAACCATCTTTTTTGTTTTCTTTCCTCATTGATTCCTCTGCTTTGTTTCTGACATTTCCTGTAACAAAAGCACAAATGCATACCTTATGGTTTCTATATTCTTACTGTAAAAGTCATTTGAGATGAGAAGAAACTGCATACATTTGATTTTATTTTGGCAAACTTGGTTTAATCCTGAAGTTTTTTGCCTTCATCTCCTGTAGAAATGCAGATGCTTCATTTGATGTGTCATCACACGCTCTCTTTGCTTTCACTAAAGAGTGGAAGGATCATCTCATCTGCTCTGGGTTTAACCTGAGCTCGTTTATCTCTTTCCTGGGTTTATCAGCTTCTCTGTAAGTCCAGCCCAAACAGCAGGAGGATAAGCATCTCCCGAGTGAAGCTGGAATATTCGCGAAAGCTGATTGCCATCTCGATCCTGTGAAGAATGCAGGCTGTGTCAGTGTCCTACTTCCAGGCCAGACCCTCAGAGATACGACTGTATGTTAGTGGGTGGTTGAGTAGGTCAGTAGGGCGTGGAGGGGTGGGGCTTACTGTGCTCTGTATGTGTATATATGTTATCTGTTTTGGAATAATGGATAGAGAGACATGTATAGGCTATCATGTAAGATGCTGCATCATTACTGCAGTATTACAGCGGCATATATATGATGTGTGATGAGTGTGGGGGGTCTGTTAGGGTTCAGACAAGCTGATGAGGAATCATATCCAAAACCATCAGTGAACCTACACGTGTCTTCTGAGTTTTATATGGAATGTCGATGATGGAAAAATAGTGGAAAATCTAAAAATAATAAGTTGTCTTTGTCTGTACTTTACCTCACAGCACCCTGCATGTATCCCTCCACCATGAACGGATTTTAAGTTCTCAAGACTATCATAACAGTGTCTCAGACATCAGGCAGTGAATTCATAACCATTTCATGTCGGCTGGTTCCTATCACCAACACTGTGAACAATTCTGACTCGGTAAGTTTCTCTAGAACGGAGCGTTTCACACCAAACCATGAACGACTCTGTTTACATCTTAACTACCTAATTATGGAGAACATTTGAAGAGTTAATTTGCAAAAACCGATAAACTCCCTCCTTTAAAATGGAGCTGACT